TTCAAAAAAAAAAAACTCTTATTAAGTAAGGAGATTACTCTTATTATAATTCATTTTCGAAATATAACACTCTTTTTCTTCTTTTATCAATGTATAAGACGTATAAAGGACTGTCTAAACTAACATCGTTACATAATTTTCCCCATCTCGTTTACATTTCACATTATGAACGGTCACATTTGATCTTTTTCCGTGTTGAAGAAAATGCACCCCAAAAAAAAGTTACGTCCTTAATTGACTCTAGTAACCACTAAGAAACTGCCACGTAATTCAATATCAGTACTTAGCCAAACAAGGTCAACTTTCGCTACATTGATAATCACTTGATTAGCTTTCATCAACGACACGTGTTCATTTATAATTGGATAATAGCTGGCAACACTATTAGTTAATGTGTGATTAAGAATCGTAATGACGTGGAAGATGTGGACAAGTTGACTATGCTAATGACCAGAAGTCTTTGGCATTGCTCGAGAACCAGCCATACACGTGGTCTTGTCTTATTAGATCTATTTCCTTAAATAGAAATATTAGTTGCTTTCTTACCAACCTAATTTGCAACATTTTCTATAAATAGAATTTTAATTTATTGGACGACCAAACCTTATTGGATCCGTTCTTTGCTCACCCCACGATTTATTATTTTATTTTAATTAATTACATATATTATCTTCTGATATATCCATTATTTTGACAAAACAAATTTGTCATTACTGCTGGTTTTGAAATTAGAAGAAGATTAATCAAAGACTTTTTTTTTATAAGATCCATGGGAATATCACTTATATAGAAGAAGAGTTGTTTATTTACGATATGAACTTACTTTAAACGGGGTAAATCAGTTTATAGTAAAATTTCATAGAAAGTTAATCCTAAACGTATTTTGTTTTTCCTTTTTTACTATGTCTAGATAGATAAGTCATAAGTGGGATAAGTATTTGTTTTTTCGCCGAAACTGCATTCCCATTTGTCACCCCAATTTATGGTTGATTAGATAAAAATATTATTTATTTTTATTGGAGGGAATATACTATTACTAGGTCACTAAAGTCATTAAGTAGAGTTATAACTTTGAAATTTCTACATTTACATTAAAGGAAGCACCGCCTTACCTTCACACCTTATGCATTATGTCATTTGCTTGAATAGGTAAATTATATTTTCATACCGCTATGGCTTTAATGTACTTATGTACAACATATAGATACATTCAAATGGAGTTCAAATATTGATTGAAATAACAATTTGTAGTTTGTTTAAGAGTTTTTTGTTTTCCATTGGTAAATGTAAGACAAAAAGACAATTTTTTAAAAAAAGTTATAAAACCTCTCACTCAGGCTTCAGTCCATTATTAAGGAACTTCTTTGAATCTCCTTATCTAGACCTTAACATTGTCAGTGTCACTAAACTGGTCCAAAATCAAACAAACAAAACAGTTAAGAAAGTTAATTGAAGACTTATATATTTAACAGCAGATTTAGTCGCTAATTTAACTAAATAATGTAATATAAACAACAGAACCAATCACCAGGATGAGTAATACTTTTGGTAGATATACTAATATTATATTTTTTCTTGGGTTGTTTCACAATTGACTTGAAATTCAAAATGCACAAGCATAAAAATACTTTCACAAAAAAAAATATTTCTGTAGAAATGCATCTTTTTCAAAGTCACTGATAAAGTACACTTGGTGATAAACTGAGGCATGATAAATTATTTACAAAAAATTGAAGCACCATTATATTAATTCAATTTTATCATCTTTTGCAGAGTTGATTTTACCGTTAATCAATAGTGTTGCATTTTAGTTCATTGTCACTAGAAAGAAATGTTTTTACAAAGAGACATTGCATGGTCCATTTCCTATATTCAAGAAATATCTAAACCATTTTAATTTATATAAACATAATTTCAATACAAAAATAAAAATTTCAATTTTTTTTTTTATTATAAGATCTCAACTTGGTCGAGCATTCTTCTATTATATAATATCCAATGCTTAAAAAACTAAACATTTTTCCAAGAGTAAAATAACACATATTTGACAAATTAGGAAACGAAATTAAAGAACCAATAAAAGTAACAGCAGAAACACCATTTGTCAATCATATTCATGCCTTCCTGACACTTCTTTCGGCAAGAGAGAGTTGTATTTAAAACTA